GGTGGGCCGAAGTCTGTTAGTCAAGTAATGATTCAACTTTTAAATTATTCTCTTGTTCTTTTTTTGTTGGGTGTTTGTTCAAGTCTAGGTTTTCTGAAACACTGACTCTTTAGTAAGAGTCAGCAGGAAATATAGGATCCCTTCCCTCCCCCGGCCTGCCTCCGCTGAAGCCACCACCACCATCTCTGTGGCTGGATGCTGGAAGAGTCCTCCATGTCTGTGGACTCAGGATGACAGGGCAGCCTCCTTCTGTGGTTGTTGGGCTTGTGAACGCTGCAGTATCTTTTGGCTTTCCACATCTCTAAAATGTTTTTCAACCTGCAAGAGATCGAGCACCCAAGTCAGAAATAGAGATAGGGCAAGGTCTCCTTCTTATACGATCTAAGCCAGCTTAATATGCCCAGGCCTGACTATCTGTTCCATGGACCATGCAGTCAGCTTTGGCCTTGCTACTATCTACCAGCCTCCTCACCTTGCAAGGTAGGCTGGCAGGAGCCTCTAATTTCACCACATTGTGGCAGCTGAGCTAAACCTGGCTTAAGATTGTAGCTATAAACTTACACATTAGGGGTTATTATTACCAACAAAATTCCTCTTTTCTTTCTAACAATGTGTTATTTTTTTCTTATTCTTTTCTTTTTTTATTTTTTGGTTTTCCAAGACAGGGTTTCTCTGTAGCTTTGGAGCCTGTCCTGGAACTCACTCTTGTAGACCAGGCTGGCCTCGAACTCACAGAGATCCGCCTGCCTCTGCCTCCCAAGTGCTATGATTAATGGTGTGAGCCACGACCACCCAACTAAATTTTTGCTTTTTCTACAACTGTTATACTCTAGAAAGTAAGATACAACAAACAGTTCTTTTTGTTTTGTTTTTTGAGACAGGGTTTTTCGGTATTGCCCTGGGTATACTGGAACTTGCTCTGTAGACTAAGATCTGCTGCCTCAGCCTCCCCAGTGCTTGGATTAAAGTTGTGCAGCACCACTGCCCAGCAAACCTATAGTAAAGAACTTGCCTAGTGCCAGGTGATGGTGATGCATGCCTTAAATCCCAGCACTTGGGAGGCAGAGACAGGTGGATCTCTGTGAGTTCAAGGCCAGATGGTCTACAGAGCGAGCTCTAGGACAGCCAGGAACAACACAGAGAAACCCTACCTCAAAAAACCAAAACAAAACAAAACCCACTTGGAGCTAAGAGGAACAGCTCTGAGCCTATCCCACTGAACGGTCTAATTCCGTAGTCATGTGGTGAAGACACAGGGCTGACTGCTCACTCTATCCCAGACCACCAATGTTCCTATCCTCACATTGCTCGCGACACAGCAGCAGAGGCTGGTGAACAGGGCACAGGCAGGACAACTAGGAGACACCATGACTGCAGGAGCACAAGTGCCCTGCTCTGATGAGGGAGGACAAAGGCCAAGAAAGCTCCTCTCCAAAGTTTCACAGCTCCTTTACTTACTATTTTTCGTACATGGCTCAGTGCACTCCCCTCTTTGCCTTTACAATTTTCCACTTGATATGGGGGTGTAATAACAACTTCTTCCATGACTAC